CAGTGCCTCTTTTGTGATTTGTCTGTTCAGTTCTGTTTCAGAATGTACCCATTATTTTTTCTTCTTTTTTCTTATCATTGCTGATATCAACAGTTGTCCATATATTCCTCAGATTTCTTTAACAATCTTTCATTCATCCCATTTAATGTTTATCAGTCTCTTGAAGCATTTGCTGTTGGATGCATTTAATTTGTATTCTGTGTTTTCAGAGTTCTTCAGTTTTCACACAGACAGTTGTTAGGACTAAAAAAAAAATATTTAGTTTCATATTTTGTTGAGGCTTTTAAAGCTGATGCTGCCTTGTCAATGCATGCCCTAATTTCATTCTCTGCATCTGCTTGGCAATAACTTACCAACATAGTTAATCTGATCTGATTTGTAGAGAGATTTTATATGCTATGTTTGGTGAATCTGTTTGTTTTTTCTGTGGATGTCCTTGCTGTATTAATTTAGCATAAGGAATATTTCCAGGGAGGATACGCCTTGGTAACTACTTCCCAGTTAATCAAATCCTGATGAACATTTCCTGAAAAGTTTCTTTGGACACTAGAAACTCCAAGGTTAGTTGCATATCCTTTAGAGGACATTGCAGAACCAACCCCAACAGCCCCTGGCTGTTGTGTGGTTTTTCTAGGAAAATTTACGTCCAGTAGTTTTCCATTGGTTTCTGGACGATTGGCTTTCTTGATACCACTGTTGAAACCAACGCAAAGCGCATGGCCCGCAGCTGGGATCGAACCCGGTATCCCGGCATTACAAAGCATTCGCATCGACTTAGCTACAGAGCTGACACTAGAAACTCTAGTAAACAGTCTTATCAACTTTAGTGAATTTTTCATAAAATAGAGTAATGCTGCCAGGGTTTGTGGATATGTAAAGTGCAGGTCCTCTAATGTGTGGTGTCAAAAGAATGCCTTGTTCTCCAGTATATTATTTAACAAATCACAATCTTTATTCCAGACATTGCCCAACAACTTAATAAGTCTCAAAACCTCAGTTCAGCCAACGAATTCTGGCAGACGGCACTTATCCAGTACTGCAGCCATTTGCTGGTCCTAAAGCTTTTTGACCATTCCACATGCGTGTCTGCACTGATTGATGAGTATATTTATGATCTATAAATGTTACTAATTGGCCTACCCCTTCAATTCTTACCATGTATGTTACTTTGTAGTATTCTTTTTTATGTTTTGCCACATCTTAGAATGTAACTAGCCAAAGTCATAAGCATTTTTTTTTTAAATTATCATTATCATTTTAGGAAGCCATTTTTTTCATATTTTAAAAACTTGTCAGTTTGTCAAATTTTCAATCCAGTGGTTCATTTCTTCAGTTAGACTAAATCTCAAACATCTTTATAAGTGTTCATCATATTCACCTACTGTCTGATTTTAAAATAAGACAGTGACTGGCTAGATTTACCTACAGTGAAATCAGTTTTGTAGATCAATGCATTTCTTCATGTAAAGAATTTGTATTTGTTATTTTAATGTCATTTTTATCAACATTACTTAAATTATAATATCTCTCTTGCATTAGGTAACTTTACTGAGAGTTTTACCCAGATAGATAAAGGTATTAAAATTTTCTAGATAAATCTGTTTATTCACTCTGTTGCTTTTTCTTTCTCTGAGCTGTGGTTGACAATAGTTAGTTAGTAGTTGACAGATTATCCTCATTGCACATTGAACCATTCAGTCCATAAGTGCTCATATTCCCTCCTTAGTGAATCCCACATGATGTAGCGGCTCACGAAACCGGTTCTGTGTTGGTTTCTTATTCTTCTTTGGCTTCCTGCATAGTGCTAATGTCCGGCCACATCCCTTTTAATGTGTTGTTCTTGCAGCCTTGTCATTGTTGCAGATTCACAGTCATCACTTGGTTCTTGCAAACATCCTGCTTCTCACAGAGCATTCAGAATATTAGTATGGTCCATAGCTTGTCCGGCCTCCACAGTAGCTTCACCTGCAAGACAATCAGCTTGCTCATTTTCTTGCATGCCTGTGTGCCCTGGCAAAAATATGAAACTGGTATGTGTCAGCACTGACCGCTTTAGAGACTCAAGCCACTGTCTTCGGATCCAGCCCTTTTTTTTATCTTCCTGAGCACACGCTTTGAGTCAGTGAGAAAAGGTGGGAAAAGGTATGTGTCTCCAGCCATTTATCTGCTTTAGTCACTGTTATGACCTCCATAGTCAGACTACTTGTGGTCAAGGCAACAGCACCAGAATCTTGCTTCACAATTAGGGTTGACAAGAGTAACAGTGTAAAATGTAGCTGTTTCAGCTGTAGTGGATTCAGCCCAGGTCTTACTCACTGCCTCAACAGAGTAGTTCATATGTCTAAGCTTGGTGTGTCAAGATAGCCAGTCTGTTTCTCCATGCTACTTATGTGACATTACCATACATTGGTAAGAGCACAAGTGCCTTGATCACTGTTGACATCTATAACTTTACCTTGTTTCTGCTGTAACTGAGTTTGAATGAGAAGAGAGGACTGTTTCCACTGACAACTGTGACGGCTCCAGGTATCATGGACAACGCAGTTGCTTGGAGACATAGATAATCATGTCAGACAAGCAGGTCAGTTACCATTTTCTCTAGTGCTGGCTGTTGCAAGAGATCAGCAGGACCTCTATTTCTCTCAATAAGATGTCACTGTTAACATTATCTTTCACTCCATCTCATGATGCAATCCTCCCAGCTAAATAGTATCTTCCTCTTCCACATGTCTTCCACCTTTCCCTCCATTAGGGTATTACATGTACTTGTTTGTCTACAATGGTTTTTTTTTTAAAACAGAATACTTATCTTGCTAAGCTCATCGTTTGTCATGGCTAATTTGTTAAAACTTGTTTGCTATTTTGTTTATCCATGTCATTTTGCCCGTTTCCACACATCCATACTTCAACAATGTGAATTATTTCTCACACTGCTGACTTTAGGCCAGTACAGCCAAGTGGATTCTTTGCCAACACCCAAGATCTCAGGGGAAATCCCAAGCACTGGCAACCCTGCTGAGCTTTGCTGATGTTATATATAATGTGATGATACTGAGTTCAGTGAAAGAACAACATATCCTCATTTATGTTCTGCAGTGTTTATCTTGTGTTAGTGAAGAGATGTGTGCACGCTGCTTGGCCGTTAATTCTTCGGCGGTTGTTTTGGTTGTCCAGACCTGACAACTTGTAAAGGAGGTTCAGCTGTAAAGATTTATTTCTCATCCTTAGTCTCAATTTCTGCCTACTAATAGTCATTATAAAACACCTACTTCCTTAAATCCATCATCATCATCACCTAACCCAGACAGAAATGAAATAAAAGAAACGTGGTAATACCTTTCGATGAAACAATCTTTAGATGCCCTACTACTGGAATGATATAATCATGCACCCAAAAAAAAAAAAGCTGATGTGTGTGTAAATGTGGGTGATGTTAATATCTGTATCACAAAGAAAGCTGATGTGTGTTTGTGTAAATATGTATGAGCTTAATGCTTATAGTCTGGAAAAATGACTAAGTATCAGTATGTAGAGCTGTTTCCCATGTCACTCACTGGTTTGTCAATGAAAGGGAAACTAACTCTAGTGCTGGTTGCTCCATAGATCCACATGCAGAAATAAGAAGTGATAATGATAACAGGCAGTATATAGTCTGCATTAACAAGTATTGCATCAAGTGTTTTCTGGGGATATCTCATAGTTATACAACTCATTCAGCACACACTAACAAAGCTACATTCTAATTTAGCCCCAGCCAATTGTGTTCAATCACTGACAGGTACTGTGGAAACAAATAGACCATGCTTAAATAATGAAAGCAGAAAAGAATAGGACTGTTCTAATTTCATTCTGGACATGCACATCGTTTTCATGCAACAACAAAAACAAAGAATAAAGGTCAGTCAAATGCACTAATGTCAAAAATGAAACAGTCAGGCATATCTTGAGTAAACAACAATTAATAGTGCACTTTGTCAAGTCAAAATAACCACTTTTTATGCAATGGTGTTTTAGATAAAATACCCTCATCAAATTCTGAATGTCTTTAAAAAAAAGTACATATATATTTTTTTTTTTTCAACAAATGGCTGCATGACCAACAGTAGATACAATTTATCTTCAAAAAGAAAAAGAAAATAAATATACTGCATTTATTTTATACATTGTTTCAGATCTCTGTTGAAATTCTGCATTAAATCAAATTGTGCCAACTTTATAGCAGAATACAATATTTAAATCTGATAGTAGTAGCAGTAATTTATACAATGATAACCCGTTCAACCCATCTGGTTTATAACTGGGATAGTATATTCGATTCCCATGAAGTTAAATCTGATAGTAGTAGCAGTAATTTATACAATGATAACCCATTCAACCCATCTGGTTTATAACTGGGATAGTATATTCGATTCCTATGAAGTTAAATCTGATAGTAGTAGCAGTAATTTATACAATGATAACCCATTCAACCCATCTGGTTTATAACTGGGATAGTATATTCCATTCCTATGAAGTATGTTTGCAACTACTTTATAGATGCCAGAGCAGAAAATATCTGGTATAACTCAGTTTACTGTCTGCAGCACTGGGTTAAGTTTTTTTCATGTCTCTACCACAACTCTGATATTTCTATATTATCCAAATGTTATTGTCATTATGTAAATATCATGAAAAAGTTTTCTCATCTTTTTTCCAAGTTCTGTGATGTTCTTATTTAAAGATGTACCCTAAACAATAATGTTATTTCCATAGACATTGCATATATATACATATATATATGTCTGTCTGTCTGTCTGTTGGTGTGCAGGTGTGCACACAAGTGTGCAAGATAATTATATGGCTGAATAATACAGCAAAAATGTAAAGTGCTAAGCATTTACATATACTGGCACAACAAAATGTGATTAAGTGACCATTTTCCCCCCCACCATCCTTCCATTTTGACACAATTATATGCTAACCATGTAATGAGCCTGGGTCCACCACAATCTGAATATATTTCATGAAAACATGTATGAATGACTCCAATTAATACAAGCAAAATTTTCAATGAACATACTCAAAATAAAACATGCACTGTCTGTATTCAAGCACTGTACATAACATTTCTGGCAACTGGTCACACATGCTTTAGTCATACACACAAAAATAATATTGTAAATGCTGGGATACAACAGTGTAGAATAAGTTACATAAACCAATGTATTTAAGAGAATCAAATACATTCATGCAAGCTGTTAGGGAAACACAATAAATTTTAAACAAAATTTTTTTTTTTTAAATCACAGAATCAAATGAATACAGAAAAAAATTACTAACAAATAATTGACTGAATTTTACTACCACACACAATATTCTAGAAACATGTCACTGGTAGAATTCCAGTCGTAGACAATTATCTGCTTTACAAAAATTAAAGTTCAAGGATAATATACTTAGATCTCCAACTAACAATAGGGACTGCTCAACAGAATTCAGAAAGAAACCTAAGGAATGCAAAGGTGAAACTGTACTAACAGACAAATGACATGCAATCAAATTAAATATTTCATGAAAATGCATGCGTCTTTGCTGTGGCAACATGCATGCAAATGAAGAATAAGTTTGCAGTCACTAAAGATGAACTTCTTTCAGTTCAGGGCCTCTTTAAATGCAGATGTGGTTTAGAAAAATATAATAATGGAAACCATGATTTCTGGTCGAAGAGGCAGAGGACAACCAGCAGAAAGGTAGCCACGGGAAACTGAAGACATCTTGGGTGTGAAAAACACATAACTTGTAAAAGACCACATGGCCTTTTTGGCAAATCATGATGGGAGTAACATCCTCCAAAGGACCTGCTACCTGATGGAGATGATGAATCTGATACAATCCAAGTATTGTAAAATAAATGACAGCAGACAAGACAACTGTTAGTATGACTGTGAAATAAAGATAAAGGTAAAATCGGAACCAGCGTCACTGCACATGGTTATAAACTACAAGTGTTCTGCCACCAGTACAGACAGCTGATAAGAGATTGTCAGCCTATGTCGCTGTCCTCACGTAACTTCGTAGCTACAGCGGCTTTACTCCATTTACCCCAGAGTGTTAACTCTGGTACCCATTTCCTAGAGGCTGGGTGAACTGCGGGAACTGCCCGGTTATGAACACCGACTGCGAGCTGCAGCAAGTTGCAGCTGGATTTGAGCAAGTCTTCTATCGACTGCACTAACATGACCCCTAGTGACTGTGAAATGCCCAAACTGATAACGCTAATACAATTCACATGTTAAAAAAGACTTCAGACGACACTACAATCCTATGTGGTTGTGGCATGCCCCAAAAATTTTAGTCAATACAAGCACACACAGAATGACTCATGCTGTACAGAGGTTGACATCAGCACATGAACAGTGATCTTTCTTGTTCACAAAACAACATCCAGGGATAGGTGGGTGAGCAAAGCTGTTTCACAGACTAGTTTATCCCCATGAAAGATAATGTAACAATAATCCCTGGAGCATGACAAGAAAAGCAGGTACTCATTTAAAATACACTATCAGTACTAAGAGGAAATAGATACAGGGAAAACAGTTACATCTTCATGCTACTGAAGGATTGATTACATTATTCTTTATATAAAAAATATTTAAAAAAGATGTGGCATGCATCTGGCCTGGAGCTGACTAACTGGGTAATATTTAGCAATGTTGTTGGTTGATATTTAGCAATGTTGTTGTTTGATATTTAGCAATTCTGTAAATGCCTTTCACTAAACGATTGTGTTGGAATGTACAGTGAAACTGACTTCAACTGACAACAACAAAAAGAAAAACAAAAATGGAAAATAAGGAATAACAATTTTATTTATCTGTAAATAGTAACAAAATTGTAAAAATATGCAGAGTTTCTGTACATTGTGCCAATCAAGAAGTAGAAATGTGAGAATCAGAGAAACAGCATGGTGGGTCCCCATAATAAGGAAGAGGACTTCAAAATATTAGTATGTACAGCGTTTGCTCACCCACACAATGTTTGTGTTTAAACCAGCTCAATCAACACAGCAAAATCATGGACAGAGTGCGATAATATGGCTATAACAAAGGGGGTAAAGTAAACTCCACAACTAAACGCTCCAAATAATAATGATGAGCTTTCCAATCACAAACATATGTCCAAAGATAAACTAGGATCAATCTTTAAGGGAATAAGGAATCTGGAAACAATGATGCCTCTGTTCCTGTTTGTCTAAACATGGGTGATGTCTGTACGCCTACTAAGACCAAAACATGATGGTGGTTCTGTGGGCAAAATCATGGAGCATGGAAGAATATGTCCAAATATATGGAAAATATTTCCACACATAAATATTCTAAATACTGGGATAAACTTTGACATCGTCATTATCATGTGCCCTGCAAACTGGCATAGGTGCTGCCAACTGGCATAGGTGCTGCCAACTGGCATAGGTGGTGCCAACTGGTGTAGGCGCTGCCAACTGGTGTAGGCACTGCCAACTGGTGTAGGCGCTGCCAACTGGTGTAGGCACTGCCAACTGGGGTATGAAATCATACATGTGTTTAAATGAACCACTAGCATCTATAATAGATCAGGAAGGTGGAAGCAATGAGGCCTCAATCCCTATCTGTTTCGAAACAGTTAATGAATCTATATCTATTGAAATTATGATATAACCAAGGTTCTACGGGGATACCAGATTTTTGCAGTGTTGGTTGCTCACATTTGAAAATAGCAACAAAAATGCATTCAGACAGCAATTAGTCAACTTATTATGAACTGGTTAAAAAACAATTCAATTGTACAGAGCATGAACCAAGACAAATATAGCACAAACAAATCAAAGACAATGATGACAGCACATGTCATGAAAGCTTGGTCTCAGTAAGGAGGCAGCTGATTGGAGAACCAGGCTGAATGCCATGAGTAATGTTATCACACACAAAACTCTAATGTCTGCTGCCATGTCAGCCCATAATGCAAAGTTGATTACGTGACTGTTACATTATCTGTGCGTAGAAGACCCTAGTTAGTCACAACAAAATTAACTAGACTGTACAATCCACATAGCAATTTTGATGACTTCATTGTCAGGAAAGAAGTCACCAGTTTAGTGCAAGACAAAAACACTGAAGTAACAAGAAGAAGAAGAATTCTGGCATCATTTGAAATAACTGACACAAGTGGTGAGGAATGAAGTGAGGGCTGCCTTCATTAGTCACATGTCTAAATAGAGAAAGATAGCTACTTCAATACATCTACATCTGTTGGTTCATTAAAAATATTAGAACTGTTTGATGTTTGACATAAACACCGTAGATATTAGAAATGTATCCAGACTAGAGTAGTCTTGTTTGCAATAACAGTCTGCACTAAAGGGTTTCCAGCTCAGTGTGTGCTTAACAACAGTGAGTACTAGTTATGAAAATATTTAGCCAGTACAATAACTTTCAACAGCTGGAAAGATCAACTAACAAAACACAGACCAGGTAAACCATATATGCTTTTCAAAGTGAATTACATACAGCCTGAGCTTCATTCTGAAGAAAAAAGCCTTTAAGATTCAAAAATGGAGACACTAAGTTACCAAAAGTGACCCCCCAAAAAAAGAAGCCTTTCAGAGTCACAGCCAGTAGGCAATTATATTTTTGACACAGTTAAAACATTTTCAAAATTCACAGCCTGCAAAAAAAATAAAATAATAACAATAACAACATTTGTATTACAGTCCCCATTTGAAATCTGTGGCAGTAAAGAACAATGCAGATAAAATTCATGTTAACTCTTATCTGAGCAACAAGACCCAAGGATATAGACGAGGTTACGTTTAGTGATCTGTGGTTAAGTTTGGCAGAGGTGTGTGCTCTAAAGCTTCTGCAGACTTACTTTTCTCTAATGATACTGCAGCTGACTGACAACTATTGTGTGATATATTACTGCCATCTGCTTGATTTTGTTGTAAAGTGTTTTCCAACTGAAAAGTGTTTTGTGAGGTGTTACTATAATAGGCATGGCCTTGCAGTAATGTGTTTTCTAAATGAAGAGTGTTTTGTGAGGCATTACTGTCATAGGTATGGTTTTGTAGTAATGTGTTTTCTAACTTAAAAGTGTTAAGTGAGGCATTATTATCATATGCATTGGCTTGCTGTAATGTGTTTTCTAACTGAAAAGTATTATGTGAGACATCTCTCTCATAGGCATGATCTTGTAGTAATGTGCTTTCTGAAGCTAGGCCAGCTGGTGAACTGATACTGTTTTCTGCCATTGTAAAGTTAGACTTAAGACACTTGGAATGTGCAGAGAGAGGTGAATGTGGTAAACATGCTGCTCCATGAGTAACACTGCAGTCATGTTTTCTGACACTACCTGGAGAGCACACACGTTCTGTGACTACCAAACTCATGGGAATGGGAGGGTTCAAATCTTCATGCATGTCAAAATCTGAGTGGGCGTCTTCATGGTCACAATCGTGGGTTTTTTCTACGGGTCTAGCATTGGGGTCAGGGGCTTGTGGTGGTTTTCTGGTGTGCCAGTGTATCTCAAGCTCTACTTCCATGCGATAGTATTCTTCTCTGATCAGTGTTCTCATAGGATGGCCACGCTCTGTGCACATGCAAAGATAACAAAATAAGGAAAGCATTAGCAAGTGACATGAATCATGATGGCAACAAATGGTCAAGACTGACTATCTAACTACATACACTAGTTTTATTTTTATTTTTAAGTGCAAATAAAAATGTATGTTACTTTACCGAGTACCTAATTGGATTAGAGGTATGGTGTCAACTTCTTCACTATGTGAATATGTACACAATAATGAACCTCAAAATGGTACATTCTTGCTGTAATACATGGCTAGTGGATCAGCCACCCAGCCTTCTCAGACAGGGGCAACCATCTTATATGCATATTAAGAAATCAGCAGTTGGACAATCAAAAGCTACTGTTGCCCCAGATTTGACCACATCAGTATACATCCCTGATGCAGTGGATTTACAGTATCTGCCAGGAGTAATGTTTACAATTCTCAGCTGCTACTTGGCATAGTTAACTTACAAACTACTACAGACAGCAATAGTGTGTTAGCTAGCACACTCACATGCTAGCCTGGTAGTCATAGAGACAGATTTTTCAAACCGATTTTGCCTCTACACCAAAAATGAAAATCAGGAAGTGCCATGAGAAGAAAAATGTGGCTACATAACCTACTTAGTACTGGTCTATACAAATGTCAATATACCACAAAGCATAGACATGGGTCCCTTAACTTTTAAAGATAACTTTCTGATAAAACTGAACAGTACATTACATATTTATGTCACAGATATGTGACTGCACCACAAAGTATGACTACTAATATGTATGTTATAAAGACATTTTGCTAAGATTAATCTATTGTCTTTACTTATACACTTTAGAAAGTACTTGTGTACAAATATCTAATTATGTATGTGGCAAATGCATGATATGGAAGTGTTAAAGTCTTTCAAACCCATTAAAATGATATGTATTAGATAAGAAAAGCAAAGCAAGTCAAGTTAAGGAACACACAGTAAATATGCTTTCGAACTGTGTAGATTAGACTACTGAAAACACCAGTTAAATAACCCAAACTGACATCAGTGTTTTTTGCACTCTCACAAAACATGGACATAAAGAAACAAGGAGAAACTACTCCTGAGCAGATTTGAGGAATGGCTTAATGTATTTTCTATCTGCGTTTGCCATTTTTACGGCAGTCAGGGAAGCCTGAGCATTTGGGGCCAGATGGCTAGTGCAGCTGCCACAACTTTTCAGGTTAGGACATTTAGTTTTGCCCCCAACAGAAAAAACACAACTTCCAATTCCTTAAAATGCATTTGATTCTGGGTCTACCCCCTGACAGTCCAGCATTCTAGCCACTTGACCAGACATTCCTCGGTGTCAAAATAAACACAAAAAATATATACTGTACTATCAAACAAACTATCTTTTTGAGGTGGGTGTTTACAAACAACATTAGCTGGGTTCTCAGCTTGTAATGGGTGCTAGGAAATGTTCGATTTTCTGAACAATAAAATTAACCAGTGGGATACTGGGTGAATCTCTATCAAGTGGTTTACTGGTCTATTAAACAAACATGTCACTAGCAACACATATACCCAAAATACCTCAAGGATGAGGTATGAAAAGGATATTACTTACCCTATGCATGTAAAGCCATAGAAAGGTATTTGTTTATATATATATATATATATATATATATATATATATATATATATATATATATATATATATATATATATATATATATATATATATATATATATATATATATATATATATATATATATATATATATATATATAGTGTATATTCTTCTTCATCTGCCTTCTATGCCCTATGCAGAATACGCCCTCAACCAACTCATGTCAAGTCCTTTTATCCTTCAATATTGTTTGCAGTTCACTCCATGTCCTTCCCATCTTTTTAACTTCATTCTCTAGCTCCCTGCTCCTTGTGTTTTTATGTGTGCTTTTATTTCCTGCTCTGTGGGGTCTGGTGCAAAGACATTCTAGTTATACTGTTTTCAGGTTTTCTTAACAAGTCCTATTCAACGCCAGCAGCTCTTGGTCCACTGTAACCTGTTTAGTTCTCCCTCAAAGCTCAACACTAGTGGCCTTATCATACCATCTAACTTCCACCATTCTGCGTAGGCACTAGTTAATGAATTTCTGTAGTTTATTAGTACTGTGTGCAACACAACACAAATCAATGTGTTAACTAACATATATGTTCCACATACAATGTTAAACATGTGATATATATAGATACAGTTATATGCTAACATGCAGCTCAGGTTAGACAGTTATATTCCACTAGCTCCGCCTGCCTGTCTCCATCTATACATTAAAATAAAGAATCCTTTTCATGCCAGTAGCACATCAGCTATACAGTTCTAGACCCACATTTATATGAACCAATCCTCCCTTGATGAGTGATGTTACAGCAATGCTTTTTTGTTTCGTTTTGTAAACTTGTTTTCTACAAATCTAACCTTTATCTAACTGGGGGTTTCTTTATTCAAACAAATGAAGACTGTCATTACTTTGTGTGTGTGTGTGTGAATAAATAAAGTTTGTCATATCAGTATAATAACATGTGGGTGGGAGGGTGGGGGTACACTGCACGATCATGCAGGGAAATAGAAGTACTGGTTTATGGTGAATTGAAAAGAGTTGGGAAACAATAGAGGGAGATAGTTATATGACTTCAACACTAGATTTCTGTCAGTGACTGACTTCAATAATGAAGGAATGAATATCATCACAGGCATAAACAATCATGCAACTACTGGGAGAATGCCCATATCAATCTACCTGTAAACACAGACAACAGAAACAATAAGCCAAATTTGATTTAACATCAGGAGAAAGCTCTCTTGAAGATTCTATAGCACATAGGATAGTTGTAAGACATGTAACAAGTAAAAACACACAAATTCCAACTTTATAAAGTTACCGAAAAGAGACATGATAATAAATAGATAATGAACAATATGGAATCGCTGCTGGGGTGATTATAAAACTGAACACACATCTGAACTCAGATTATGTCAGGAGTTAATAATATCTGAAATACAAATTCAATAAATATGTATATAATATATGTAACTTTATATATGTAAAGCTTCTGCACCTTAGAGAAAAACATGTGGAGGTAAATCTGAAAACAAGGACATGCATTAATGCAGAAATATATCTGGTTCCAGCAAAAAACAAAATGTACTAAACATCAAATTTTGCCCCATCCCAATGCAGCTAAAGTATATAATTACCAAAAAAAAACCACATTATACATCTGATCATGATAATTAAACAAAAATGAAATCACATTAATTGCAACACTAATTACTGACAACATTTAATATATAACCAGAGTGTAAGACAAGAAAATGATGGTGAAGTCTAAAGGAAGGTAGCCTTTATAATTTACTAGTTTGTTTCCCACACCTGTGTAATCAAATAAATAACCATTACTGATTAACATTTTGACTGATAAACCTGTTTTGTTCTATTGTTTGAAAACTTCATTCTAATCAACTATTTGTTATGGTGTATGTGAATGTCTTTTAATTGGTGCTGTGTGTGTCTGTGTTTTTACTTGGCTGTGTATATGTTTATGAACATGTGGCTCTGTGAATGCATGTGAATGCTGCATGTGTCTCTGCATGTGCCTGTTTGCATGTGCCTATGTACGCTGTGTGTCCTGTCTGCAAAAGAATTAATTGAATTTGGTGGCAATATAATATTATATGTTAATATGTTGTGCTTAAAAATAAATAAGTAATAATTTTTCATAGCTCTGTAATTGTGTGGAAACAATATATCCAGTAAAAAAAAACATTACTAGAACATGCACAAATTCCAGTCTAATGTATCAACTAATATATCTGGCTTGGTTACTGTCAGCTGTGTACAATGGAAAGCTACAGGTGGAGATAAGGAAGGTAGGATATCATCAAGCAGTTATCTTACTTTGTACGAAAATGTCCACGTATGTGGTGGCCACGCCAGCTTCGTTGGTGGCTGTGCAGATGAACTCTGCTTCCTCTTCAAACGTTACATTGTTGATGGTCAGCGTGCACCTGCCGTTCTCATATGTTGATATGTAACGTGTACTCTGTGTAATCTCTATTTCTTCCTGTTGGGACAAAAGCACACTGGGATTGTCTTTGTTCTGTAACTTATATGCCTTTAAAAAAATACAAATAAGACATTTTGTTCATTAAAAAATGTGGCAGGGAAGAGAACTAGCCACTTAATGTCTTGACGTTATGATCAAATATATGTGAATGTCTAACAGTTCATACTTAACCAGTTGGAAACTGAAAATAGCAGAGTAAACAGGCCATTACCTATGCTTAAGTGATAAAATATTTATACAAATTATCCAAAAATGTGTATTTATAGCATGCACGATTCTGGTATAGGCAAAACTGAACCCTTGCCAGTGCTAGTGTGTGTGCACTGGGCTGAGATTCTACATGATCTTTTTGGTGCAAAGAAAAGCAAATATTTTGTGAAAGACGACATCAACGAACACAGGAACTACATCTAAGGAGATTTAAGCCTTTAACCTTGGCAAACAAAAACCAAACCATAATTATAACCAAAAGCTCCTAATGAGCTGGTTGACCTTGGTCTAATTTTTAATTTCTTCAGTGAATTAATGTGTGATCTGCAGAAGGTAACTGAAAAACAAGAGAATATCTGTGCACAATGAACATGATCCTTAACAGCAAACACCAAAACCTTTAAAAAAAAACCACTGACTTCAATTTCAATATCAAAGTCGACATTTTGTAACATAAGGTTTGGCATTTCAATGACATTATGGCACATAACGGTATGCTTACTATTAACCTGAGCCGCCGACCCACTGGATTTCACAACTAAAGTTTTGTTGGAGAAGAAATAGCCAGTCTTATACCAACCGTACTTAGTTGTCTCTTATGTCATCATACATGGGTGGTAAGTTAGTGAGTAGCATTACACTCTGCTTCCCTTATAAGGGAAGCAAGGTTTGTTGAGCTCTGTTCATAACTGGTTAGATTTTACACCTAAAGTTCTTTTTTGCTTGGGGGCGGGGGAAAGGATAGCCAGTCTCATTCCACTCGTCTCTTCGTGTGAGTTCCAGAGACCCATTGTGGGAAAAAACAGAATAGACTCAATGCCCCCTAACAAGCATACCATAAGAGTAAACTAATTAGGGATGTTTCCTTCTAACCTTGAGCGGCTAAGCAACCAGAACTTTATCCCGAGTTTACAGACAGCCAGCACAAAGAAGTATATTCCAACCTTCCTTAGTTGTCTCAGTTGTCATACATGGTAAGTTGGCGGGTGAAACTATACTTTTTTTTTCCCTTATAAGGACCAGTAACACAAATCTGAGTCCTCACAGAAACTAAAGGGCAGAACAAAAAAAAAAAGAGAGGATAAGAACAACCAGACTCACTTTAAACCAGGTAACGGTGGGCGTGGGCTTGCCAACTACAAAACACACAAGTGTAATGTTGGAGCCCTCCAATACAACAAGTTCTTTCTGGAGAGTTTGCGTGAAACGGGGAGCTTCTGGTGCTGCAAATGTTGCCTCCACTTCTGTAGGGCTTTCTTTGGGTTTCTCCTCTAAGAAGATTTCTGCAGTGACTGTGATAAAGAATTTACTGCTGTGAGTAAAATTGTCAGCATTTCTTTCACAAATCGAGTGTAAAGAAATTTGTTGGTATTACACATTATGTAATGCTAATATAGCTTAACTAATTTTGAACAGAAACATCTTCATCCTGTTATGCAGTTTATATATTATGTAGGGCTGGCATTCCATTGTGCGTATGTGTGTGCATAAGTGTACACGTAGAGGTGTGAGCATGTATGTGTGTGCATAAGTGTACACGTAGAGGTGTGAGCATGTATGTGTGTGTATCTCAGAGTGATAACAATATATGCTTTTTATGTATGTATTAGAACGGGGTTTAGGAAGGGGGGGGGGAGGGGGGATAGCAGTCACTGTTACCTAAGAGATCTTAAAACATTATTTTAATTTAGCTTAAAACATGATTGTAAAGTTCTCATTTTTTAAATTATTATTATTTCTAGGTACCCAAATAACTATCTTTTTAAGTCCTAATAATACAATTTAAACCACCACTAATATAAAGACACTCATATATTGTGTGTTCTAGAGTCAGCAAATCAGACTATCTACATATCTGCACAGACACCGATTGTGATATTACCCATATTAGATGTGAGCGCATTCTATTTTCTTTCTTTTCCATTTTGAAAGACTGAGCCACAGCAACGGGTGGCAGATACAGCTATTCCCCAATAAAGGTTATCCACAATGGATCTCCAACATGCTCTGTATCTTGTCCTGATTGAACACTCTCTCTGAGACTGCTGTTCATCCATGTCATGATGTTATACTCCCAGCAGTATCGCTGTCTACCTCTTGCTTTCAACTTTCCTTCCAGTTTGGTTTTTAAAAGTGTGTTGTTTTCTAACATGCACATATAGATGATGTAAAACTGGAATTTGTAATTACAGAAGTTAGTTGCCTATCCTTCACACTTTGTTGCAGGCAAGCCTAATCATTTGTTCGCTGTCAGTATTTTTATTAGGCAATTTTATGTTTGTCAATGATTGCTTGGAGGCTCCTATACCAGTATCATAATCAACACAAAAGTGGTCTTCTACCAAAAGGCTTGCAGCTGCATCAAACCGGGTATGTCAGAATGATGTGGCCAAAACCATGGCGGTCAACATGCAATTATTAACACAGTAAAGAACAACACTCATGTCCTTACCTTCTTCTTCTTCTTCCTGCCTGATGTCGACCTCAAAGTCAAGGCTAGTAGTTTCTTCCACAACCTTCTCTGTGGTGACAGTGGATACTGTCACTTCCTCTGTGGTCACCTCTGCACGTTGTTCTGTTGTTTTGACTTTAGCTAAGGTTGAGGAAAGCATTTAACAGAATCAATATCATGTCTGACTAAATGGCAATATGTTCACCAATAATCAGTAAAATTCTGAGGTTGGTAGTAGTAATCTTTCAAAAATATCCTGATAAACCCTCAGGGTTATATTTAGGAAATACAGTGTTCATTGTGTTGTCAGAGTATATTTACATATATATATATGTTATTTTATATGTACGTATCATGTAATTATTTATCTAAGACAGATTTGTAATTTGCATTATCTGTATTTATATTTGGGTTGTGTTAGAAATTGTACTATGGGTAACTAACATTGTTTCACTAACATGTTTGATTTACTATTCCATTAGTGTAATAACAGATTGTTCTCCTCAATTTTTTCATTATGGAAAACTTCTTCAAAGATGGCATAGGTATTCCTGACACTTCTATATATGGATTTTAGTTCTACTAATAAATTGCTTGGCCTTGTCATGCAGGTCTCTGGGGCTGTTTACGTGCAACAAGTTTTTTATCATCATAGATAGTTTAAAGAGATTTGTATAGCCTGGGACTAGTTTGCAACATCCCATAAAGGATGCAACAAACTTTTTTTTAAAACTCATTAGTATGAAGAGTTCCTCTACACTGAATTTTTTTTTTCTACCAGTGTAGGGTGGGCAAATCCTAGTCAGAACATGATATTTTCTAGTGTTTGATCATATTTCCACAGTGCATTTCACAGGTTTGAAAGTACTGTACTCATGATCTGTCATTGTGGCCGTTCCCAAAAGAGTCAAAGTATGTAAAAGACTCCTCATGCCTCTTGTCTCTTTCATTAGCTGCTTTGAGGGACTTTTAAAAAATCAGCATACTGATGTTTTTAATATATATATATATATATATATATATATATATATATATATATATATATATATATATATATGCGTGCGTGTGTTCGTGAGTGTGTGTGAGAGTGTGTGCGTTTATACATTTAAAATATATATATACATATATATATATATATATAAAAGTGTGTGTGTGTTTATACATTAAATATATAATCAGCCTGCAAGTAATATTGACTGGTATTACTACTCTGTGCTTCTGCTGCTGCCGCAGATGGGGACAAAGTGCCTATGGGGGATGTCCTGATTGTTGTGATATTATTTTTCAACACAGGGAATATTTATACACAAGAGCAGAAAAATACACAATAAACATGTACATATAGTACGCTGGTAGCCTATTCGGTAAAAGAAAATATTTATATAAGCTAATATTTCAGAAAAATACTTATTTATATTGTTCATCAAAACATCATATTACTCATTTCAGTTCATCCATATGAATTACAAATTAGGCAATATGAATTCAACAGATCGTGATGAACAAAAGATAACATGTTCAGACTAAGCCGTTTCACAACTTTGTTTCCCAATGACACAAGCTCATGTCTGAAGAAAGCCCTGCACACATAACTACAGCACATTTCCAGCTTGTCAGCAGGATCTGACACTGAAAGGCACTAATTAAGTGCTTGATGAGTGACAATAATCGGTAGGCACTTGACAGGCACTATGTACAAATACTTGAGAAGCCTACTCTGTACATGACAGACATTTAGCTGTAAGTACATGAAAAGAGGCCCTGATCTGTAAGTATCTGAAGGAGAATGATCTGTAGTAAGTACTTCAGAGATACTAATCTGTAAGTACATGAAGAGAGACACTAATCTGTATGTATCTGAGAGACAATAATCTTAAGTACTTGAAAAGAGATGCCAATCTGTATGTACCTGAGAGGGACTTATCTACATCAAAATTACAAACAATGAATATTGACAGAGAAAGAATATAGTCTAGGAAAAAAACTGAAAACAATATAATCCTTGCTGGCTTCAGTTTTACAGTTGCAATGACATCAGTGTTTGCTTTTCATATAAAAAACAAAACGCCCATTATTTAACATTCCTTTTAACAACTGAAACTGTTTATGATATTATACATGGAAAAACATTTTACATTCAGAGTTACACACACTGCTATCATCAAGCAAAAAAACAAAAAAAAGCACAGCACATGTTCAACAGTGCTAAAGCATCCCCCAGAGCAACAACAGCTGGGAAAACAACCATGGCTTGGAAATAGTTTAGTTTGATGACTACTAGGGATCAAATCTGGAGTTTCCTGTAGGAATTTCAGGGCCACATTTAGGGAGAAATAAATAAACCCAACATCCCTTAACAAGCATGTCATAAAAGGTAAACAAAATTAAAGGTTTTCTTAAAGCGGTTGTGTTCGGCCGAAATGCACAGATATTGAGGCATATCACCCATTATAAAAAGTGTGTAAAGTACAGACATTGAAGTATAAGGATAAGGAGGAGGGGGAGAAGAAGAAGAATAAAGGGTAGGAGGAAGGATGAGGGAAAAAAACATGGAGCAATATGATGGCAAGCAAGTATGCCACCCATTCTACTTCCATGACATTGTCCACTTATATCTACAAAAGGTTAACTTACACTCTACTGTAACAGTGGCCTCAGATTCAACTCGGCCAACTTCATTTTCAAGTACAACTTTATAAATGCCCTCATCTTCAGGGTATATTTCAGAAATAACCATGACACTCTTTGTCTCAGTGGTGGTAATGTGGAAATCTGCAGTTGACTTGACTGGCTTGTTGTCAATGTACCATGTCACTGTTGGTGCAGGTTTGGCAAAGAAGGAAACCTCCAGTTCAACCCTTGACAGTTCTGTAACAACAACATCCCTCAATGTTTTGTGGAATTCAGGTTTCTGTCTGTCATCCACTGCCTCTTTGAGTTCAACTTCTGTTACTTGAGGTGTCTGTTCAAAAGTTTTGGGCTGCACCTCAGCTATTGTTTCTTCCGCAGGTAGAGCTACCACCTCCTCCACTTGGAGCTCTGTTGGTTGGGCCTTCTCTTCTATATCCACAAAACTTGGCTGGATATCTTTGGGAGTGACAGAGATAAGAGTTTCTTCTGTTGTAACCACAGCAGCAGTCTGTGCTTCTTGAGGTATTTCACCCAGTAATTCAGTGCTGACATCTTTCTCTGGAGCAACCTCAGCAGGTTTTTCAGGAATGATCTCAGCGACCTGCAGGACCTCAGATACCACTTCCGGCTGACTGACCTCGAGAGCTTCAGAAATTTCTTCTGCCTGTACCAGAGGAACTTCCTCTACAATCTCTTCTGTCTCCAGTGGTGCTTCACCAACAATGACAAATTCCTCTGACTCTTCAGACACACCTTCAACATTAACAAATTCTTCCTTGTATTCATCCACAAATTCTTCAGTTCTGACCTCCTCAACAATTGATTCAAACTCTTCAACCTCAAATGATGTCTCCTCAGTTGATACAATGGTTTCTTTTTCCTTTTCAACAATTTCTTCAATGGGTTGCTCAAATGCTTGTTCACTCACCTCTTCTATCTTTTCTGAGATCTCCTCTTCAGCAGTTTCTCTAATTTCAAATGGAACGTCTTCAGCAATTTCAGTTGTGCCCACTGTCTCAGCAATCACTTCTGGTGTTGTTTCGAAGACCTCCGTCTCTACAGAAATTATTTCTTCTTTCTGAGTATCAATCATTTCAAAAGATTCCTCTGTTTCATATGGTGTTTCTCCCACAGGCTGGGCAACTTCTCTGCTGGTTTCAATGATACCCTCTTTGGGAACTTCCTTCTCAACCTCTGACAGATCTTCAGCTTCCAGAATTTCAATTTCCTCAGAAAACTCATCAGCTGCTTGTGACTCTTCTTTACCAACAAAAACAAAATCAGACACTTCTTCAACCGTTGCTTCCTCTGGATGCTCAAGCTCTATTACTACTGTTTCTTCAGTCTTCTGAGCCTCAATAATTTCACCTATTTCTTTAACTTCTTGTGGCTTTGTCTCAACAGTAACAGATTCAATTTTCTCTGCTTCTACCACAGACTCCTTCAAAAGCTGACTTTCAACATTTTCTGTTTCATCAACTTCAATTATCTCAAATTCTTCAGTCACGGATTCCACTTCTTGTGGTTTCTCTACTTCAACAACTATTGTTTCTTTAGTTTCCTCAATAGTTTCTTCCTTTGTTTGTTCTGTCTCAACTTCAGTTGTCTCTTCTGTTGTGATAAACTCAGTGACTTCAGTCAAGGTTTCCACTTCTTGTGGTTTCTCCACTTCAATAACTATTGTTTCTTTAGTTTCCTCAATTGTTTCTTCCTTCGGCTGTTCTGTCTCAACTTCAGTTGTCTCCTCAGTTGTTATAAACTCAGTAACTTCAGTCACAGTTTCCACTTCTTGTGGTTTCTCTACTTCAACAACAAATGTTTGTTTAGTTTCCTCAATTGTTTCTTCCTTTAGTTGTTCTGCCTCAACTTCTGTTGTATCTTCAGTTGTGATAAACTCAATGACTTCAGTCACAGTTTCCACTTCTTGTGGTTTCTCTACTTCAACAACAATTGTTTCTTTGGTTTCCTCAATTGTTTCTTCCTTGGGCTGTTCTGTCACAACTTCAGTTGTCTCTTCAGTTGTGATAAACTCAGTGACTTCAGTCACAGTTTCCACTTCTTGTGGTTTCTCTAATTCAACAACTATTGTTTCTTTAGTTTCCTCAATTGTTTCTGCCTTAGGCTGTTCTGTCTCAACTTCAGTTGTCTCCTCAGTTGTGATAAACTCAGTGACTTCAGTCACAGTTTCCACTTCTTGTGGTTTCTCTACTTCAACAACTATTGTTTCTTTAGTTTCCTCAATTGTTTCTTCCTTCGGCTGTTCTGTCTCAACTTCAGTTGTCTCCTCAGTTGTTAAAAACTCAGTGACCTCAGTCACAGTTTCCACTTCTTGTGGTTTCTCTACTTCAACAACAATTGTTTCTTTGGTTTCTTCAATTGTTTCCTCCTTTGGTTGTTCTGTCTCAACTTCTGTTGTCTCCTCAGTTGTGATAAACTCAATCACTTCAGTCACAGTTTCCACTTCTTGCGGTTTCTCTACTTCAACAACTATTGTTTCTTTGGTTTCCCCAATTGTTTCTTCCTTCGGCTGTTCTGTCTCAACTTCAGTTGTCTCCTCAGTTGTTTCAATGACAATTCAGTGACAATTATCAGTCACAGTTTCCACTTTCGGTCTCAACTTCAGTTGTCCTCTTCAGGTGTTATAAAACTCAGTGACTTCAGTCACAGTTGTGGTTTTCTCTACTTCAACAACAATTGTTTCTTTTGGTTCCTTCAATTGTTTCTTCCTTCGGCTGTTCTGTCTCAACTTCAGTTGTCTCTTCAGTTGTGATAAACTCAGTGACTTCTTGTCACTTCAGCAGATTGTTTTCTTTTGGTTTCCTCAATTTGTCCTCTTCCTGTTGTTTCCACATGTTTGTGGTTTCCTCAATTTTTTCCTCCTTGGGTTCTCTACTTCAACAACAATTGTTTCTTTGGTTTCTTCAGTTGTTTCCTCTTTAGGCTGTTCTCTCACAACTTCAGTTGTCTCTTCAGTTGTGATAAGCTCAGTGACTTCAGTCACAGTTTCCACTTCTTGTGGTTTCTCTACTTCAACAACTATTGTTTCTTTGGTTTCCTCAATTGTTTCCTCCTTTGGTTGTTCTGTCTCAACTTCTGTTGTCTCTTCAGTTGTGATAAACTCAATGACTTCAGTCACAGTTTCCACTTCTTGTGGTTTCTCTACTTCAACAACTATTGTTTCTTTAGTTTCCTCAATTGTTTCTTCCTTCGGCTGTTCTGTCTCAACTTCAGTTGTCTCCTCAGTTGTTATAAACTTAGTGACTTCAGTCACAGTTTCCACTTCTTGTGGTTCCTCTACTTCAACAACTATTGTTTCTTTGGATTCTTCAGTTGTTTCCTCTTTGGGCTGTTCTCTCACAACTTCAGTTGTCTCTTCAGTTGTGATAAGCTCAGTGACTTCAGTCACAGTTTCCACTTCTTGTGGTTTCTCAAATTCAACAACAATTGTTTCTTTAGTTTCCTCAATTGTTTCTTCCTTCTCAATGCTGTTTCCACTTCTGTCTCAACTTCAGTTGTCTCCTTCAGTTGTTATAAACTCAGTGACTTCAGTCACAGTTTTCCACTTCTTGGGTTTCTCTACTTCAACAAACTATTGTTCTTTGGTTTCTTTAGTTGTTTCCTCTTTGGGCTGTTCTCTCACAACTTCAGTTGTCTCTTCAGTTGTGATAAGCTCAGTGACTTCAGTCACAGTTTCCACTTCTTGTGGTTTCTCTACTTCAACAACAATTGTTTGTTTGGTTTCTTCAGTTGTTTCCTCTTTGGGCTGTTCTCTCACAACTTCAGTTGTCTCTTCAGTTGTGAAAAGCTCAGTGACTTCAGTCACAGTTTCCACTTTTTGTGGTTTCTCTACTTCAACAACAATTGTTTCTTTGGTTTCCTCAATTGTTTCCTCCTTTGGTTGTTCTGTCTCAACTTCAGTTGTCTCTTCAGTTGTGATAAACTCAATGACTTCAGTCACAGTTTCCACTTCTTGTGGTTTCTCAAATTCAACAACTATTGTTTCTTTAGTTTCCTCAATTGTTTCTTCCTTCGGCTGTTCTGTCTCAACTTCAGTTGTCTCCTCATTTGTGATAAACTCAGTGACTTCAGTCACAGTTTCCACTTCTTGTGGTTTCTCTACTTCAACAACAATTGTTTGTTTGGTTTCTTCAGTTGTTTCCTCTTTGGGCTGTTCTCTCACAACTTCAGTTGTCTCTTCAGTTGTGATAAGCTCAGTGACTTCAGTCACAGTTTCCACTTCTTGTGGTTTCTCTAGTTCAACAACAATTGTTTCTTTAGTTTCCTCAGTTGTTTCCTCTTTTGGTTGTTCTGTCTCAACTTCTGTTGTCTCTTCAGTTGTGATAAACTCAGTTACTTCAGTCACAGTTTCCACTTCTTGTGGTTTCTCTACTTCAACAACAATTGTTTCTTTGGTTTCCTCAATTGTTTCCTCCTTTGGTTGTTCTGTCTCAACTTCAGTTGTCTCTTCAGTTGTGATAAACTCAGTGACTTCAGTCACAGTTTCCACTTCTTGTGGTTTCTCTACTTCAACAACTATTGTTTCCTTTGTCAGTTCAACTGTTTTCTCCTTGGGCTGTTCTTCCACAACTATTGTCTCTTCAGTTTTCTGAAACTCAATTACTTCAGTCAAAGTTTCCACTTCTTGTGGTTTTTGGAATTCTACAATGATGGTCTCTTTGTGAGTCTCTGTTTCCTCCACAGTGGGCTTTTTATGTTCTATTTCAATAGTTTCTATGTACCTGGAAGTATCAACCTCTTCAACAACTTCCTCAACTTCCTGAGCTGTTTCTTTCTCTAAATCAATGGTATCTCTGTATTCTTCAATGGTTTCCTCCTGAGGCTGTTCTGTCTCAACTCTTTCAGTTTCCTCTATTGAGGGTCCTTCAAGCTCTTCTGTAATCTCTTCAACCAGTTGTGGCTTCCTAATGTCAACAACAATGACCTCTCTGTCTTCCTCTATTGTCTCTTCTTGAGGATGTTCTAACTGAATCTCTTTCATCATATCAGTGGTGGGAACTTCAATGACCTCTGTAACAGCAGCTATCTCCTGAGGTTTCTTGAACTCAACAGTTATAGTCTCCTTGTGTGTCTCAACCTCCTCTAACTTTGTTTCTCTAATGCCCACTTCTATGGTCTCCTTAACTGTGGTGGTTTCAATCTCTTCGGTGACCTCTTCAACTTCTTGTGGCTTCTCTTTCTCGACTACAAAAGTATCTTTGAACTCTTCAATTACTTCATGCCTTGGCTGATCAATAGCCACTTCTCTTGTTTCCTCAACTTCTACAGTCTCAAATGTTTCACCAACTTCCTCTACTGTCTGCGGAATTTCATAATCCACAGCAATGACTCCTCTCTCTTCTACTATCGTTTCTTCTCGAGGTTTCTCCGTCTCAACCTCAGTTACTTCTGTCACTTCTTCTCTGACAACCTCAGATATCTCTTCAACTTCTGTGGGCTTACCTACATCCACAGTGATGACCTCCCTGGAGACATCAACAACCTCTTCAGTTGTAGACTCTGTTTCTGCTACCTCAATTTTCTCCGTTTCCTCGATGATTTCAACATCAATCTGTTTTTCTTCTGTGGGTTTTACAGGGGTGAAAGATATTTCCTCCTGGTATAATTTCTGTGTAGAGATATCAATCTCTATATCTTCAGTCCTCTGAAGATCTATCTGTTCCTTGACAGTAACATCTTGCTGCTGCAAGTCAAATTCCAGAGTCACTTCTGACAGTTTTGGTTGTTCTCTAGATACATCCAAAGCAATTTGTTCCTTAAACATCTGTAGCTCTTTATCTTCTCTGGTAATTTCCCGCTCAATATCTAGTGTTTCTCTGTACATTTCTATCTCATCCTGCTTCTTTGCTGTTTCACGGGTCTGTGCATCAATATGCAGTACGACCTCACCAAATTCTTGCTGCTTCTTCTGAATATCAAATGAAATTGCTTCTTTGAATCTCTCAGCCTCTGTCACCTCAAACACATCCTCCCGGGCCACATCTACAATCTCCTGCACAGTTTCCTGAGACGTCAAATCAAACTGAACTTCTGAGATCTGGGGTTTGGGCCCGACAACAATTTCCTCTTTAAACC